GAAGGGGAACAGGTTATGAAGAGTTTTAAAAGCCAAAAAGTGGATTTTACATTAATCCTGAAGACAATGAGGAGTCACTGGAGTTTCTTGACTAGGAGGGGTGACATGATCAGACCTGCTATTTGATAGTTAGGGTGGATTAGAGAAAAACTGAGGTAGGAAAAGCAACCAGAAAGTCAAGGATGAGATGATGAGGGCCTGTACCAGGGTGGTGGCAATGACAGAGGAGAGAAAGGGGCTAAAAGAGGGATGTTTGGGAGGTAAAAATGACCAGACTTGGCAGCAGATTGGAAGACTAAGGAGTAGAGGATGATACCTCCACCAAGTTATATACTTCCACTCTACCAGCACAGTATGAGATCTGTATATAACTGAGAAATCAATTTAGGCAAAAGTCTCCAACCATTGGAGGGAAGAACCCTGGTTCAGATTCAGAGGAACTGGGTGCTAGTTCTGGTTCTTCTACTACCTGGCTCTATGGTCTTGGTAAGTGTCATTGAAATTCTTTAAGCCTCTTGGGATTTTACAAAATGGGGAGGCAAAGAGAAAAAGGAGAGGAAGCTAGGTGGTGGCACAGTGGGTAGAGCACTGAGCCTGGAATTAGGATGACCTAAATTCAGATCTGACCTCAGACACTTAATCTCAATTTCCTCAACTGTAAAATGGGGACAGTAATAGCACCTACCTCCCAGAGTTGCTGGATCAAATGAGATTAATATTTGTAAAACACTTAGCACATATGCCTTATATGTAGTAAGTGCTTAATAAAGGCTTCTTCCATTCTCTACTAGTTTCCTTCCAACTCTTCACAGTCTATGAAACAAACTGTTCTCTAAATCACACCAATCTTGCAGCCTCTGTAAAGGCAAGTAAAAGAGAGAAATAGAAGCACACCTTCTGGAATATGTAAAACTTACAATATGGGTTTTATGGATGTTACAAGGAAAGACGATAATATCTACTGGGTAGAGTACAAACCTGAATCCATTCCCCCAGTTTGCAGCTGGCGGGAGAGGGAGGCTGGGTGTTCTCCTAAGTCCTGGGAGGGCAAAAGGGTGTAGTGACAGGAGAGTGTCAACCCAGTGATGGCTCGATATCTTACATGTGTACAAACAGGTAGTACTAAATGTACCCCTTGGAGAGTACCCATAGAAATGAGATAAGAGCACTAGATTTAGATTCAGAAGATCTTGGTACAACTCCTGACTGGTGCTGGGGATCAGAGTAATCTTAGGGAAGTGTCTTTGACCTCCCCTAACCTTGGTTTCCTCATTTGTAAAATGAAGGGGTAGGGGTTGTACCAAATTATTTCTAAGGACTCTTCCATCTCTAACAATCTCTGGGTAAGTCCAGCTCACTCTTTGTGGATTCTGGACACCAAGTATAACCAGCCCAAGGGTTATGATCCAGCACAGCTAGTGGGACTGACTTGTGTTACAACTTCATTATAAGTTCCTGTCTTTCTCAACTTCTTTGGCAGAAAAATGGTCAAAGGAAAACCTTTTTTTACCTCTAATGTGGCCCAAGCCATAGTAAGTTTTAGAGCTGGAAGAGACTTTAGACAAGTATTCAAACCTAATCATTTTTAAAATAAGGAAACCAAGGTCCCAAAAGGTTAACTGGCTTGTCCAGAGGCACACAGCTAGTTGGTGTCTCAGCCAGAACTAGAATTCACCCATCTGTACCTCATATTTTTCTTAATCTGTCAGAAATCGTACATCTCTGAACTCTCATTATTTCAAGTTCACTTTAGTATTAACAGCACAAGAGTAAAAGATTATGTTTCCTCTATTATATTCATCATCCTTTCCCATCCACAGAAGGAACAGATGTTGGCTTTGAATCAATAAAAAGCATATAGAATGGGTATGGGACCTGTGATTACTTTGGTTTAGGGAACTGTTCCAGTAAAAGATTCCCTGTACCCCAGAAGTTCCTTCGTCATGGGCACCTTTACAATCTGATGGATACTATAAACCCCTTCCCAGAATGATGTTTTAAAATAACTACAGTAAAAGGTTAGTGAAGATGAAGATATAATTTGTTCCCCTTCTAAGTTCATGGATCTCAATGCTGGTTAGCACATTATCTGCATTATTAGTCTTAGAAAGGTGCCTAGATCACAGAGAGAATAAATGACTTGACCAAAGTCAAATGGTCATTATGTGTCAGAGGAGAGATTTGAACCCAGGTCTTTTCAAACAAAGCACAGAATGTTACAATTTTTTCAACATTCAGGTTACAAGGTGCAGACCCATCTTCTTCTTTTGGGAATGGTAGTACTCAGGCTTAAAGCAGAGAGTAACTCATTGGGAGTATACAGAGAATAGGGAAGGCGACAGGTTCAAAAGATCTATCTGCCCATCCTCCTCTCCTCCTACTACCACACCCCATACTCCACCTACAAAGATTACTCGGGTTTGCCAATTATCTAACTCTATTAAAATGCAAATACCCCCAGGTACAGTTAAGTCCGTGAATCATTCACACCTAAGATTCCCTTCTAACTCCAACACTACGAATATCTGAATCTAAGAATTATTTTCATCAGATAAGCCAAAGGTTTGCAGCTACGAGCAGAGATCCAGTAACTGAGAAACTAGAATTTTAATAAAAGAAGAGTAGGGTGATTTTGGAACCAGGAACCCAGCTGGGGAGGAGGGTAGGAAAGTGAATGCTTTAGTCAGTCAGAGGCTAGCATATTAGGGTGGGGAGGGAAAACAGGATATAACAAGTAGAAAGGCTACCCAAAACAAATTGCACCCACATATACAAGTCTGCCTGATGCCCAGATGGGTAGCTTAATTTCAACCCCATAGTTCCTTCATTTAAAGTCCAAAACAAGGAAAGGTTCCATTCTTGGTTACACACTCTAAAGGCCACAGGGAAGCTAAATCTTTTTAATGGTCTCCCCCAATCCAATGCCACACCACTCCCCTCCCTTCCCCACTCCCCAAATACTTTGATGAGGCTTCCGAAAAGTATAGTATTAGATGAGGCGAGCTAACAAAACTACCTAAATTCTTTCTGGAAAACAGACTCCAAATCCCAATACTGCCTTTCTACCCTTTTCTATGAGACCAAAATAAAGGCCTAATAGACCCTTCCTGTTTCCTATATTTGATTGTATTCAAATAAGACAAGACTATCAACTCTTACTACCAGCCCAAGAACCTTATATGTATTTAAGTTACTAAAGGTCCAGTCCCCACCAATTAAAATCTATGTTCAAAGCAGTCATTACCAATCACTTCAGAACAATTCTGACAGAAAACTGAATAGTGTGAGGGAAAAAGAAGAGGGTGAAAGGCAGAGGGAAACCTATTTCTTCCCAAGGAGAATTAAGCATAGTTTAGGTTGGAAGCTTGGCTGTAGTCACAGAAAACAGAAGACAGTTTGACAAGAACACCAGTTATGTATAATCAATCATCCACAAAAGCAGTACTGGACTGTTTATTATATTTATTCACCCATCCTCCTAATCTTATTCATCAGTCCTAAGGGCAGATGGCAAGACAGTACGGAAAGTGTTCTCCAATCCTGTTTCATTCTGCAAAACATGTGTTCTCAATGCGACACATGTAAAAAGAAAACATTGAAAAAAAATAAAATGAAAATAAAATAACCCTATTAAGAAAATATAGTAGAAGAAACAGCAATAAAGAATTCTTCTAAAAACACTTCTCAGAGACTGATATTTGCTCCTGCGAATGTAAAAAAATTTTAAGAGACACTGAATGAATACCTCACATTTGGATTCTTTGAGCTTACTAATGACCTTTTGATTTGATCATTCTACATCATCTTCCCCTCCTTTTTAGGGGGACTTTTAAACTTACACCAAGTAGTAACTGCCTGAAAACCCCAAGAACCACCATTTTTACTTTTCATAGTGGGAGAGTGGGCAATGTGAAGAAAGGAGGTGAGGGGGAGGAAGAAATCAAGGTCTTTGAAACACCTGTGTCTCCCAGGTCCGGAGAAACTCTTTGTCTGATTGCTGGATACCATTAGTGAGTTCAGAAAAAAAAAACCCGTAATAAAACAAAATAGAAGTCATTTCCATTATTTAACGGAGGTTTAAAACAAAGGACACGTTTTTGAGAGGCATTCAAGCGTTTGCTTTATTTCTCTAGCTAGCCCACCTTCTGGTTTGCATTTCTTCATCCAACCAAAAAAAAAAACCCCACTCTAACTCATCACTTAGAAAAGCCATGAGGCTAGTAATTGAGGAACTAGACTGAAATACATCTTGACGGTTACTAGTTATTGTTCTGCCAATGACAGATACAAAAATAAATCTTCCCCACCATCCACACCCACAGACGAGCCATTATGCAAAATGCTTTTCGGAACGAGACTTGGAAAGAATGTGCTAGAAGTGTTATTTATGTACATATTGTATACAGCACACCGTATACCACTCAAGCAGCATCATCCACACACAAAAGCCTGTGATGGAGAAGGCAGATAGCCTCGGTGCCTGGAACATACAGCAGTAAGAGCAGTGGCAACCTCATGTCCAATCAAATCCTTCTCACAAAGGTGGACTTCGGGGAGGGTGTTTTGCATGGTTAATCTGCCCTATTACTGCCCATGTATGCACAACATCAATATCCCATGGGAACAAATCTATTCCATGTCGCTGCTCATTGTCCCAAACTGCCAAAGCCTTGATCTCAATTTTTTCCCAACAATAGTTCACTCTTCTCCTTTTCCAGGGACAATCTGAGGCCTGGGAGCTGCCTTTCAATCTCAGTTTTTCTTAGTTCTCTCCCCCCCCCAACCTACAAAGGATTAAAATCTTAGCCCCTTACCACGAGCAGTTAAGAAAGAAAAAGAAAAAAAAAACCTAAGGCACCTTTTCTCGCTTCAGGGAAGAGCAGGCAAAAGCCCAGAGGTTTGGTGGAAAGTAAAAAAAGCGCTTGGGGCAGCCGGGGAGGGAATGATCGTGAATAATTACCGACACCACCGAGAATAATAATAACAACGACATAACTTACCCAGAAGATAACATTGAAGCCGAATATGAAGTATTTGATGCAACAACTGACTTCAGGACCTTTGTAGTGCTTCCCGGACATCCTCTGGGTTCATGAAGGCACTTTCCTGGGCAGCCAGAGTTAGGAGTCCCCGGAGCACCCCGACACGACCGCGAGCTTCCCACACCACAGGGCACGGCGGACCCCCAGGTCCAGGAGGGGCGCGGGTGCAGCCCCTGCCGCGACCACCTCGGGCTCAGCAGCAGCAGCTGCTGCCGCAGGAGGAGGAGGAGGAGGAGGAGGAGGAAGAAGAAGAGGAGGCGGCGGCAGCGGGAGGACGAGGGCTGAGCTGGGCGCCGAGGAGCGGACTCGGAGCGCGGCGGGGCGCTGCTCTGGGCTGGCTGCCTCTCTCCCTCTCAGCCGGCCACTCTCCTGCACCGAGGCCCCGGCTGCCGAGCCGAGCCTCAGGCGAGCACACCGGGAAGAGGGCTCGGATCGCAGGCTCCCCAGCGAGCTAGCGCCCCTGCCCCTGCCCCTGGCTCTGCAGCTGCTGCTGCTGCTGCGGCCGCCGCGGAGGCTCCCTCTGCTAGGAGCGCACGGGTCCCACCGCCGGCTATGTGTCGGGCCGGCGGGCTGCTTTGCCCGCGGCCAGAGGATGCTGCGTGGGGACGGGGTTCGCCCGCGCTCGCTCTTTCCCCTCGAGGAGCAGCAGAGGGGATGCACGGAGACCCACGCGCGGCGCGCACACACTCACGCATCCACACTCAGGCACTGGAGAGCACCCGAGCCCCTTTGACACAATAACGTGTCCTCTTCCTCCTCCTCCTCCAGAGCTGCGGCCTCCCACCGCCGTCTGGGCCCTCCCCCCCGCGGCCTTTCTCCCCGCCCCCTTGGAGAAGGGGGTGGGGCTGGGGCGGGGCGGAACGGACCCTATCTCCCTGCAGTTGGGGCTGGTGAGAGAGCCGAGGGGGGCGGGGGAGTTCCGCGGAGGCCACCAGCCTGGGTGGTGGAAATCAGCAGCATCTGCGATTCCACCCAACCACTGCCAAAAGGAGGAGTCGGGACCCCTCCTGCGGGTCACCTTTCCAAATGGTGCACGCACACACGCACACACACACACACACACACACACACACACACACACACACACACCACGCACACACCACCCCCAGCTCATAGCCTCGGCCCGAGTCGTACAAGGAAAGATGCATACAAAGGTGGCATCCCTGGTCGGGAGGACGAAAAGCAGGGCCAGAGAGCTAGCTCTAGAATCGGGGGCCCTGGGTTCGAATGTCCGTTCTGCTATTTACTGGATGTGAAACCTTGAGTAAGTTGCTTCACCCTCTAGGCCTCGGTTTCCTCATCTTAAAAGAAGGTAGGACTAAGTGTCCCTTCTGCTTCTAAATCCACGAGCCTTAAGTGTGGGTGGACTTTGCGTGAAAGCGAAAGGTGAGGGGTGGGAGGGAGAGACATAGAGACGAGAATATCAGAGACAAAGACCGTTTGCTTCCCTGAGAAGAAAGCGGGCTCCCTGAGAGAAGAGAGCTGCCCAGTTAGGAAATCAGGTAACCACCTGCTTTTCATCCTACAGACTTCATGCTACCACCTGGGAAAAAAAATTATCAAGGTCCTAGACAATTACCTGAAATGGAGAGACTAGCCCAATGAAGGGATGGGGTGAGGGGGTGCAGAGTAGGGGTGGGGAGGAAGTGAGGATGGGCAAGAACAAATAAGTGATCCTGGCTGGGTTTGGCACATTTGCAACATTAGAAACAAAAGATTCTGCAGAGGGCACCAGATGTCTTACTGATTCCTGGTAGTTTGAAAGGAAGTTGCCTATTCCCTGAACTTTGGGGAGGCATCTCTGAGAACGGGCTCCATTACAGTCTTTAAAGGAATCTGATTTGTCATCCGAAACCCTGAGCTATGCTGTTGCTTATTCTCTCAGAGAAAAAGAGAGGGTGGTCGGAAAATTGTTTGGGGTCCAAGCCGGTGTGCCTCCCTTATAACACAGATCCTACTTCCTATACCTTTAAAGATGTTGATGCAGAAGGCCCCAGGTTCTAAAGCGTGAGAGGAAATAAAAAACAACCCACCCCATTCCTCAACCTTACCGAAGCCGGCAAGACTTGGTGAAAAGGGTATTGGACTTGGAATCTGGAAGACCTGAACTCAAATCCTGCCTGAGGCATTTAATGGCTGTGTGACCATCAATAGGCAAGTCATTACCTCTCTGCCCTAGCTCCCTCATCTGTAAATTAGAGGGATTGTATGGGGTCTCTTCCAGCTCTAAATCTATCCTTCTTTGTGAACTACTCTCATTCTTCAGTACTTTGAATGGAAAAAGAGAGGGAGAGATTGAGAATGCCTTTCAGTTGCTGCAAAGTGGAATGAAAAATTAAGGGGCTCAAAAATAGGATTGAGGCAACATCTTATTCCATCCAGCCTTCTGCCCCAATTTAAGTCCTATTCTATTCATAGTCACAGACTGCATCCCTACACCTTAGAGGACAACGATGCTAGATGAGGCAGTTCTCAAGAGAAAAACCAGTAGGTAAATGAATCACAGGATTAGAGCTGGAAGGACTCTCAGAAGGCATTCAGTCCAACCCAGGGCTGGGGAACCTGTGGCCTGAAGGCCGTGTGTGGCCCTCTAGGTCCTCAAGTGTGGCCCTTTGACTGAATCCAAACTTCACCAGACAAATCCCCTTAATAAAAGGATTTGTTCTGTAAAACATGGACTCAGACAAAAGGCTGAACCCAAGGTCCTAGAAGGCCACATGTGGCCTGGAGGCTGCAGGTTCCCCACCCCTGGTCCAACCCCTTCATTTTACAGATGAGGAAACTGAGGCCCAGAGAGATTGAGTGATTTGCCCAAGGTCAAATATGTAATAAGCATTAGAAGTGAGATTTGTACCCACATCTTTTGACTCAAGCTCCAGTGCTCTGGCCACTGTCCCATGCTACCTGCTAGGTCACACAGGTAGTATTAGAACCCATATTTGAACCTAAATCTTCTGATTCCAGGTTCAGAGCTCTCTCTTCAATATCAAACTGAATCACAGAAAATCCTTCAACACTTTCTAGGGGAAATGTTGCAAAAGACATGCTCTGAATCATCTTCATATATGAAATACAGCATAGTTTAAAAATAATATCTATAAATCCCGTCACAGTCCTAGCCGGGGGAAAAAAATCTGGACTCATACCATGGGATACTCAATTTAAAGCAGGAATAAGCACATTTGCCAGATGGTCATCTGTGGTTGTCTTAGAGACTATTGGTTTCTCTCTTCCTCAAAGGACTGGTAAGCAAATAAAATGCCTCAGCTGAAAGGTGTCAAGCTGTGAAAGGCCAGGAGTTTGGCCAAAGAGACTACACAAGGTGCTAGCCTCCTCATCAGCCTTCTGCCTAGTCTTCCACTTCATCTGTTCTCCTCACCAGCTTTCCTTAGAAACAGTGTACTGGGTTGGTAAAAGTGCAGGGTTGCAATGTTTATCCCCTAAGTTTGCAACACTGAAACAGTCAATTTGGCTCTCGGGGGAATCCCACTGAGACACTCTCCTGTCTTCCCCCCTTCACTTTGGCTAGACCTATCCTAAGGGTTCTTTCAGCTGACTGGATACAACACAGCATGGCCCAAGCTATCAACAAACGCGTCAAGTACAATTTTTGAAAGGACCAGTTGAAAGGACCACAGCCTGCAGGGTAACTATGGGAACTCATCTCCACAGCATCCCTTTGAAACTGTTCAGCCAGGAGCCCTTGGCCTCCATGGTACCTTGTTTTACAAACCCAACTGACTCAGAGATGACTGAGGCTCCTCCACTCAAAGGTCCAGCAGAGGAACGCTTTGATCGATGACCCTGCAAGAAAACATGAGCCTAGATGGCAGCCCAGCCTTAGAATGCACCTGAACATTATCTTTCCACCATCTTTGTTTTACTGTAAGCTGGTCCTTGTTTCATTGGTAACAATCAGAGTTAGAGCTGACATTTATACAAGGCTCTATCTTGGCTTAGATCTTTATGTACATTATCTCTTTTCATTATCAAAACAACCCTGTGAAATAGGAGCTCCCATAACCACTTTACTACAAAGGAAACTGAGACTCACAAAAGTTAAATGACTAGCTGAGGGCCACACAGCTAGTATTTGTGGCAGGACAGGACCACAGGTTTTCCTGACTTCCAGCCTAATCAATACTCTATAATAAGTAACAAATAAAATCTATGTCATAAATATAATAAACATTAAAATATATAATAAATATGATAAATGCTGTATTTTCTTTCCAATGACATGGGATGTATATGGGGGTAGGGGAAGCTGGTACGTGCACATGCGAAGGGCGGGAGGGGTTGTGATCACATGGAATGAGAGGGCCTTGGAAGTCGGTGGAGCATATATGGCAAAGGTTCTGGCGATGGCTCCAGCCAGCTAACCAAGTCTAGAAGAAGAGGTTGTATGGTTGCCTGTTGGGGCATTCAGAAAGGCATCTCAGCTTCAGTCATTCCCTTTGTACCTCAGGAAGTAACTCCTTGACTCATATCATGTGGTAAGAGATGATTCTATAAGGGGAGAGGCCATGGGACCTTCCCCACTCTGAGGCAATTTGGCTCAGTAAAAGAGCCAAATCAGTCTTTGGCCTCTGTGTCTGTTATGTTCTCTTTTCAGGTGAAGCCTAAATTAGAGCCTCTGACATTGTGAATTTGAAATCTCTGGAGATCACTCTAGCATCATGATGCTCCAAAGTTTGGCCTCCAGGGCCAGAGAAGCAAATTCCGATATGTCAAATTCAGGGGTAAGCTGGTAACACCACTGCTTGACTAGGACTTGGTCTAGATGAAAGCTAGTAAAATGAGGTAAGGCTAGAAAACAATGTTAGAGTTAGGGAAATGGCAGGCTAAGAAGTTTATTCTTTATTATATTAGTAACAGGGAGCCATGGAAGATTTTTGAACAGGAAAATGGCATGGCCAGGCCTTTTCCTTAGCATGGATGGGTTAGAGAAGACGACTAAAGATAGTGAGCAGTTAGTGGGATATTACAATAGTTCTGGACAGAGGTAATAGAAGCCTAAACTAGAGTGGTATACATATCATGGGTGTACCTGGTTACCTGCATATTGTCTCCCCCATCAGAATGTAAAATCTTTGAGGGCAGGGACTATCTCTGCCTTCCTTCCGATCCCCATGGCTTAGCACACTACTAGCCCATAGTAAGCACTTAACAAGTGTTTG